ACAATTAGATTATAAAATTTTTGTTATTCACACATAAATAAAGTATAATATTATCAATTAATTATTAATGATAAATTTTCTTATAATCTTAATTAAAAATATTTTGAGCATAATTATTATGCTATAAAAATATAAAAATTCATAAAATGATAATTTAAAAAAAACATTATTGCTTCATATCTTTATTAAATAAAATAAAAATAAACGTATATTAATTTCTTGGATACTAATTTTTGTTTATTAAGGTCGATTTTTAGGATAACTAAAAGTCATTGAAATAAATTTAAAGTTAAACATTTGTTAATATTATGTTTAACAAATTTCATTTTATGAGCTGCTTTTAATTATTTTTATGATGTTTATTATTTACCCTTTACTATATATACGTAAAATAAAATCCATAAATGTATTATTAAATTTGTACAAAATTTCAAAATATCTGATGAACATATTAAACACCCTATTGTTACTACTTTTTATAATAAAGTGTTAGTCTGAGACACTTATTTACTCAAATTATTTTAATAGCCGCTCCGGAGGTATATTCTAGATTTTAATATTAGATTGGTATATAAACTACTATATTAACAATTGGGAATCATATTGCCACTCAAAATGGATTATGGGAGGTTATTAATGTTTTGACTCTCGAACTTTCATTCAAAAAACATTTAAGCTCCAACCACATTATTAATTAAGATTTAGCTTTTTGTTTTGGAGGTTTAATATTTAGAAATAATTATAGAATAGACTATTGGAATGGAGATCGATTTAAAGTTTATATAGATAATATTGAAAATCATAATTAATAATATTATTATAGTTCAAGTTTAAATAATCTTTGTGGAAGTTCATCTTATTATGATGAAACTTTTTAACTGGATTTGAATACTTATCATTATAGCCCAACTGTTTAAATATTAATATCAGGTGAAGTATATTGGGGAATTTCAGATATTTAATTATTTATCAAAAAATGTCCAGAAGGTTGCGATTCTTGTAACTAGAATGGATGCTACAGTTAAATATTATATATTGAATATTTTACTACTTAATATTTCAATCTTAATTCAAATGAAGTATGGTAATCTGACAATGGTGTTTTTTATTACTATCTGCTGAATCCAGGAGGTATTGTTACAAATTATTTTAGGTTTTTATATTTATAGATTAATCACTTGGTCCTCAAAAAAAACAATATATCTTACACCTCATGATGCTGTTAGTATTTAATTTAAAATAATAACTATAAATTTATATCATTAATTTGAAATATTAATTGATGATATGTTAGTACTTGTTTTAAATACAGCAAGGTAAGTATCTCTTACCTCTAGTTATTACAGTTATTATTATTTGATCACAAGTCAGATTAATATTCATTAATATAGGCATAACCTAAATTAGATTACTTTAACAATTAGATAGAAATCTAGTACTAGTTATACATCAAGTTCTTCTGCTTATTATGGAATTAGAGATTTTTAATTATTTCTTAAAACATATGATAATTGTTTTGATGATAATATTTAACCATTTGATGGATGTTTTGCTAATATTTATGATTGTATTATAGGTTGTTCAAATTGTGTAAGAGGTATATGTTTGAAATGTTAAGATGGATGGGAATATTATGAATAGAATAAGAATTGTATACCGATATGTGGTGATTCAATAATAACTTATTTTGAAGAATGCGATGATGGTAACACATATCAATATGATGGGTGCTATTAATGTAAATATTCATGTCCATTGAATTGTAGTAAATGTTAATTTGGGAAATGCAAATAATGTTAACCTAGATATGAATTAATAAATGGATATTGTAAATATAATTGTGATGGTTATGAGATTTAGGATGATTAAGAAAATAGAAATTGTATTAATAGAATTAATAATTTGATTGAGAATGGTCATTACTAACATAATCTATTTAATAATGAAAATTCTAAATATACTTTAGTCAGTAGTTTAACATGTAATCTATAAGATTTTGGAATTTTTGGATATTTTTATAATTAATGTAGAATACCAGTTATACAATATTGTAAGGAAAGTCTTTATGATAAATGTCTAGAATGTGATGAATATTATAAATTGGAATATAATAAATAGAAATGTACTCCCTTATGTAATGATGGAATTGTAATAGAGAGAGAATAATGTGATGATTAAAATAACATATAATTTGATGGATGCTACAAATGCTAATAAAGTTGTTTATTGGAATGTATAAATTGTATTGAAAATAAATGTTATTAATGTCTTGATGGTTGGCAACTTATAGATTATAGTTGTTATCAATATTGTGGAGATGGTTAAGTAGCTAAATCTTCAATGGAATAATGTGATGATGGCAATTATAATGATGGAGATGGATGTTATGAATGTAAATTTGAATGTTTTCCATTTTGCAAATCTTGTGCTGATAGAAATACATGTTTGGTTTGTGAATAATATTTCGAATTATATAACAATTCATGTAAACCGATATGTGGAGATGATTATATTTTAATCGGATTAGAAGAATGTGAAGATGGAAATGATATACCTTATGATGGTTGTTTTAATTGTTAATTTTAGTGTGAAAAAGAATGCTAAATTTGTAAATCAGGATTATGTATTGAATGCATTGAAGGATATATGATTATAAAGAATTATTGTGAAATTAATAATTAAACTTAAATTATTATTGATGGAGAAGATACATAAATATAAAATAAATGTGGAAATGGTATTTATTCTAATGATGAAGAATGTGATGATGGAAATTTATTTGATGATGATGGCTGTTCAATTTTATGTTAAATTGAATCTAATTGGTTTTGTAATAACTAACTAAATAAATCTAGTATTTGTAATCCTTATACTATTATTAAATTGTAATATCTTAATATAACTTAATAGATTTAATATGTCTAATTATCATTTTCTAATAAAGTTAAATTAAATCAAACTATTTCAAATTTTACTAATTTTATTAAACCCTCTATCCCATCTCTTTAATAAGATATATATGATATTACTATAATTCCTGTAGTCGAAATTGATTAGATCATTTTACTTGATGTTATCTATGTTTTATAAATATAAATTTTAGAATCTACTTCAACACAATTATCTTTAATTGTTGAAATTAATGCTAATTTAGAGGATTTAAATTAAATGAAGGTTAATACTGCCATCTAAACTATATATTTATAAATACCCAAAATTTTGAACAAAAATTAATTGCAAACTGCTAATAATTTTTAATCTTTAGGTAATTGGATGATGATAGGATTAGCTGGTAGTAGTTTTTTTTTGTTCTTTTTTGGAAATCCTAGTTAATGTATGGAAATTTTAGATACTTTATAATTTTAATCATATTTAAAATATATAAATGTGGAATTTCCATAAAATATTTAAATATATTTTGAATCATCAGAATTTGTAACTATTAGCCCTGTGTTGATTAAATTAAAAGTAAATGATGTATTTTAATAATTAATTGGATATCAATATTTAGAAAGTGTAGGAAAATTGTTTGAATATAAATTAAATGCAGATTTATTAGTAAATATATATGGGTAATTTACTTAAATAGGGTTCTTGATTGGATTGTATATATTTATTAAATACTATAAAAAATTGATCTATACATATTTTTTTGGCAATAAATATATCTACTATTTTAGACTCTTTAAGAATAAAATCATTTAAAGTATTGGAATTAAATTATATTATATCAATAAAAGTATATGTAAAATAGATGAAATATTTAATATTTAAGGCTTAATTCAATTATTTCATGCTAATAGTTGGGATCTAATATTTAAAATATTGATTTTTTTAGCTTCTAATTAAATGTTAGGAATAAGAGAAATAGTTTCTATTATTATATCAATTGGATATCTGATATCCACAATCATAATAATAAGTTAAAATTGCAAAGGATACACTCGTAAGATTATATTAAAGGATTTAAGAACTCAATAACATGATGAAATTATATTACTTAAAAAACTCTTATTTTTAGTAGTTCTGATTATCATGTAAAGTTACCCTCTCATACAATGTATACTATTAACATGTATATTATTTTGGTATCTTGGATCATTAATTAGTCTTGATTTTAAAGTAAATAAACTTGATTCAATCATAATTATTTGGATGGAAGCACCTGTAATGCTCTTTACATTATCTTGCATGATATATAGCTCTGATTTTCAAAAGTATTTTTCAACTGAGTAATAAATATTTGCTGGATTTTTATAAATTATTTTATTGCTATTAGCTTTAATATCTCCTTTAGTTAGATGTGGATATTAGTTTTGTATTAAAGTTAGAGCATTCTACTTGAAAAATAAGAAGATGAAGGACCCAATTGTTTTGGATGTTAAAAATATTTTATTTTTAGTTGATAATAATAAGTGATTATAATAATTATATTTGTATAATAATATTATTATTTAATTAGTTATTATCTCTCTTTATATAAAGTTATAAATTTTGATGAAAAATACTACTACTAGTATTTTCATTAAAATTAAATGATGATATATATTTATAACATATCATTGAATGATATTAGTATAATTATATAAAATTTATTGATTAATTAAATTACAATATATTTAATGGTGCTATTAATTTTTCTAGTTTATCTTTAAATAGTCATAGTATTTACAAAGATCTAACAATTATATTTAGTAGAAAATAAATAATTTTAATAATCTAGGTAAGCACTTATAATTGCAACGAATGACACAGAAATTGTAGAGAATGAATTTTCTGATATTGATACATTATTAAGAAATGCAAAAACTCTATCAAAATAATTATCAAGTTAATATAATATATATACAATGGAATCAGATTTTATTAATGTTTTTACCTCATTATAGTATGATAACTCTGCAATTGATATATGTTTTTCAAAACTTGGTTATATAAATTGTAAATATAGAATTATGAATTAACTTGTTGATGAAGATCTCATAATTTTTGAATCTTATCAATATACCCTTTAGATTGAAAATAAAATTTGTGAATAATTATATAATATTTAGATCAATAAATTTATTGTATTATGTAAAAGTTAACAAGGATTAACAATTAATTTAATAAATAACTAAAGTGAAATAATTGATTCATTACTTATAGAATCTCTTTATAATTAAACATAACATTAGATTTTTAAAGACAAAAATCTAATCATTTATGAAACATTGGATACATTATGTGCTTTATTTGTAGTTGGTTGGACTAATGATTAGAGTTATCTATAGATGAAATAATTAATTGTAAATGGGTAGGATTATATAGATTCCAAAATAGTTGGTTAAATAAATAATGTCTAATTTTATCAAAGTAATATTTTAATAATATATTTTTCGTACTTAATCTTACACATAAATCTCTTGAATTTTTCTATTACAACTCAATTTATTTTAAATAATCACGAAATTGAATATTTTTAATTTATATAATTGCCTTAGTTAAACTCCTAAATGATTATTTATTTAGATAATAGAATATAGAAGACTTTTGAAATAGGTAATAAAGAATTTCGTATTAATTCATAATTTCAAAAAATAAAATAAGTGTAATTTATCAAATAAAACATTATAATCGAATTTTAATCATTGTTATATATAGTAAATAATTAATTTATTTATGATGTTTTAAAAACAGAATTAAGTTAAGTTGTGTATTTAGAAAATTTGCCATTTATATTGTTATTTTAGAAATAAGGTTAGTTATCATTTTTTAAAATAAATAGTTTTCCATCTTATTTGTAATATTAAAAATCTACTTATTTATCAGTATTTTGGTGTGTTGATATGATTATTCATGAATAGGCAACTATATATAGNGTACTATGAGGATGGTTAAAAATCGGGTTTCTGGAAAGAACTAATTGATAATTATTGGATGTATATTTAAACTTATCTTATAAACTAGTTAAGCTCAAGTCTATAGCATTGGATAGTATATTAATGGTAAAAAAATAGGAGCATGGAAATATGTTTATCATAATAAAAATATGTATTTATAAAAATAAAATAAAATAGTGGTGGAGGATCATACAATGAGGAAATTTTAAAGAATGGCAAATGGATTGAGTTGAGGGATGGATTTTGTAGTTTATCATAAATAGTTTATAATGGAGATTATAAACATGGTAAAAAGGTTGGTAGATGGTAAACTTTGTATAGGGATTATAGAAAAGATAAATTTGAATTAATGTAAATTGTAATTACTAGAGTATTAGTGGTGGTGGATTATATGATGAAAGGGTTGAAGATTCAATAAAGATTGGCAGGTGGATAGAGTTGAGTGATGGGTATAATTTTTGGTCTGAAGTCACTAATAATGGTGATTATTAGAATGCAAAAAAAGCTGGTAGATGGGATACTTTCTACAAATTTGGTGATAAAGGATTTACATAAATGTTGATATTATTATATATTAACAGTAAATTTGCAGTGGCGGTGGATTATATGATGATTAAGTAGAAGGAAGTTCGATTAAGATTGGTAAGTGGATTGAGCTGAGTTGTGCATTTAAATTTGATTCACAAGTCATCTATAAAGGTGAGTATAAAAATGGAAATAAAATTGGTAGATGGGATATTTTATTTAGAGGATAAAATAATGAAGAATTTAAATAGATGTAAAATATATATGTTTAATATTATGTATAAATTTGCAGTGG